CGCCGCCGCGGGAAGCGGCTCCCCTCCTTTGGCTCCGCGTCGTCTCTCCCGTCTCCGCCGCCGGGGCCGCTTGTTGCACCGCCCGCGGCCTGCGGGAGTCGCTCGCCCGGCCCGGCGCCGGCCTTGCGTTCGCGTCTGCACCTCCTTCCTCTCGTCCCCGGGCCCCGCACCGAGCCCTGCTGGCGAGACCCCGGCCCGACCCGCCGCCCGCACAAAATGTCGGCCCGGACGCCATTGCCAACGGTGAACGAGCGGGACACAGAGAATGTGAGTAACCGGAGCCTCCCCCGGGAGCGGCCGGGCCGAAGCCCTCCCCCGACCGCCGCTTCACCCTCGTCTCGGCCCGTCCCCCGCCCTCAACGCGGCCACCCGCGGCAGGGTCTCCACCTGAGCCCGGCGTCACCCTCGCCCACTGCTTAGCCCCTATTCTTCGTTCCAACCCCGTTTGGCGGCTTTCCCTGAAGGGTGAGGGTGGGGGCCCCGTAAGTGGCGCCCTCTCCTTGGAGTGGTCCTCCAGGAGAGGATGGGGTGATGGAGGGCAGTGAGGCAGAAGGAGATGGCAGAGTGGGCATCCAGGGTTGCTTTCTTTCTACCTCTGCATTCTGTGTCCCCACCCGAATGTTTGTTGTACCATAACAGACTAGCCAGCTGGCTACCTCTTCCAACCGTGCTTTCTGGATCTTTCAGTCCTGTGCGCCCCCACCCCCCGCATTGCCCCGTGACTTTGCTTTTTGTAACGTTGTGTCCACATGTTGGGTCGTGGGCACCGAGGAGGGAAGGTTAGGAATGGAAGGGACGAGAGTGGAAGAAGAATACGTGTGTGTGTTTGTGTATATGAGTTTATACTGGTGTGATACTCCAGGAGGTATGAGTAGAAGAATTGGTCAAAGAACACCTTCTGTGGCCTTGAGGTTACAGCAAAATGTTTAAAAGCCATACTAGCAAACGGCTTTTTCTTCTTTCGCTCAAGTCCGTGGTGATCATTCAGGGCAGGTTTTACTTTAAATACCTCTCCTTCTTGGAGTGTCACAAGGTACATTTCTTTGAAGGAAGGATTTTCTGTGTCTTTGATCAAAGAGTCCTCAGGACTTTTTATCAAGATGCAGATGTCCCTGGTGTTTAAATACTTGAAAACCCAAAGAACAAGATCAGTTGTATTTCCATCTTCTGAAAAGTATGATTGTGTGTGTGTGTGTGTGAGAGAGAGTTCTTTTGTGGAAAACGTTTTTTTTCCCCCTTTCTTTTAAACAAAACAAAAAACAAAATCCTCACGACATGTAAATAGGGCCTTGGCTGATTTTCTGACTGGTTTTGAGGCGCTATAGGGGTACTAAGTTTTGGTCGGCTGACCAAAGCTCTCAGGTTGTCTAGTTAACTCATCAGCCCTCCAGCTCTGGATGTACCAGTGTCTTCCTAGGGTTAGTAAAATAAAATAATGAAGTGCCTTGGTGTTCTTAGACAAAAGGTGTGAGAGAGAAGAGATACAAGCTCATTTGGGAAGCTTTGGAGGGGAGTATAAACAAATATTTAATCTTGGAGAATAGGGGCGAACACAAACATGAATATAATTACATGAAGGGAGAATTAATTCCAGTGAGAGACCGTTGTTAGAATACCTCGTAAGATGTTTCAGAGAATGCTTTTGTCCTCTCTAGTGTCATGCATTTAAAATGGTAAGAGGTAGTGTAAGGCTGCCCTCCTAAATTAGGATTTAATTTGCATCACAACTGGTGTTTGTTAAAATATAATCAATAAACAGTTTTGATTGATTGAAGCAGGTGAGGGAGGAGATGAGAAATTGGGTTAAAGTTGATTGGAAAGCCAAGTTGGTTCAGAATTTTTCTAACACGAACTCTAAAAAAATTCATTCCTGTCATTCAGGAGAGTGGATGAAAAGTAAGAAGATGACCTTTGTATTAATTAGCAAATTACTGTGTGTTAGCCTGAGAGGGATGGGTTTTGATTTTCTTTTGGCTCTTGAATAGCATAGCTCTTTTCAATGCTTGTGTTGTCTGAATAAGGGACATTATGTTGACATGAGATAGCATTATAGAAGTAATGCATCAAATGATAGTACAAAATGCAGCATCGCATCTTAAGACCAAAAAATGGGGTTTTAAGGTAAGCAATAAAGTGTGATAATTTTTTGGTGAATATTTTCTGAAAACGGCTGTGTTGTTTAAACTCATTTGCTCTGTTTCAAAGTCACTTCTATGGTCTTGTCTCTAGTTGTCATTGGGTTCTAGGGCAGTCCCCGGGTTATGACCCTCTGACTTACGTATGACTCGGAGTTACGAACCAACCCCCGTAAAGCCTATTATATTAAAAATTCGAGGTACATGCACTGGTTCCTAATAGTAAACGGGTGCTATTTGCATCAAAACATTATTATTATTATTACTACTGTATTATTGTGTTACAGATATTTTAGTATATCCTGAAGTGCTTCTTTAATGTTTTTTTATGCTTAGAAAGGTACACTATATACTAAGACAAACATTTGACTAACTCACATTCTAATTTATGTACAAATTCGACTTAAAGACAAATTTAGGAATGGAACTCATTCATAGTCTGGTGACTGCCTATACTTAAATACACCTTCATTTAATTTAGTTTACCCCCATCATAATTTTGTCCTGTTTGCTGCGGAAAATACCTGTTATACTATAGCTGTTAATTAATCAATAAGTATGCAGTCAGCTCTGCACTTCAGCTGGAAGGGATACAGAGGAAGTATTTAAAACAAGGCCTGTGCCCTGCAGGAGCTTACAGGAGAGAGAAGTATAATCCCAAACACACAGAGGACAGTAGAAGACAGTGTGTAATAGGGCTAACTTGGTTTGTAAATTATAGGTGTTTATTGAAGGGATCACTAGTGATGGCTGTTAAATCACTATTTGGGCCTCTGTAGTTGGTGGTACTGTCATTATCCGTTCTGACTTACCTCCCTTTTATGAAATACATTCAAACCTGCTTGTTAGCTAATACGTTAATACCAGTGTGGCAGCGAAAATGTATGTTTTTTGTAGTCATTTTTAATTGAAGTGACATATTTAAAAAATAGTTGTGAAAATGTTACATTTGTATGACTCTGAAAGGCTTTTAATTCCTTTGCAGTATCGAAGAGAGTAACTACAAACAGTTTATTGTCTTTAGAGATTAAAAAAATGGTAATCTAATAAACCATCCTCGTATTGTCATTTTCAGTTAATATAAAAATTTCTCTAGCATACATGTAACAATTTGGATTTTGCATCCTTGAATATGTAATATCTACCCTTCCCAAGGTTTCAGTGGAGCTTCCAGACTAAGACTGACTAGGAAGAAAGGCCTGAGGAGCCATTTCTGAAAAGCAGCCAGTAAAAACCTCGTGGATCCCAACTGTCCAATCCGCAGCTGATGATGAGGATGGCACAGGACCAGGCAGTGCTTTGCTCTGTTGGGCGTGGGGTCACTGTGAGTCAGGGGCCGACTTGAAGGCAGCTGACAGCAACCCTTCCCAATGTCATTAATATATATTGAGGATAAATTAAAATATTCAAAAGGAGACTGTTACAGCACTGATCTCTTTCATACTACTACTAATATATAGTACATTGAGAAGTAATTGCTTTTCGTTGAGAACATTCTGCATGTACTTTTTCAGGAATATTTTCTTAGATGAAGGATTTTCTTGTGCATTGTTAATAGGCCTCAAATGGCTCAATGTAACAAAACAACCAATGATTAACTTTTAAGGCAATAAACACTTCATTCATAATGAAGTCAAAAAGACATGTTGCAGCTAACAGAAATAATTTATGCAAAATAATACTTGACTTTAGGTTGTAAAGAGCAAGTCTAGAAAAAGAATGTGTATCTACAGTACTTCTCTTTCCCTTTTGTTAGTTTACCTTGAATAATTCCAGCATGGATATAGATAATATATTACTGTTGCTTTTCTGTACTTTTCAGTAAAGCAAAAACCAGTTTTTTTTCACTGTGTTGGAAAAACTGTGACTATGCGAATTTTTATGTCAGCATAAAAATTAAATGGATCCAAAATGCCCCCTGCTAGCTTTCCGTAAGGAGTTCCTGGGTGGCGCAGACAGTTAAGTGCTTGACTAGTGGCCTAACAGTTGGCTGTGTGAACCCACCAGAGGTGTCTCAGAAGTAGGGCCTGGTGATGTGCTTCTGCAAGATCACAGTCTTGAAAACCTTAGGGAGCAGTTCTGCTCTGCACACATGGGGTCGCCACGAGTCAGAATTGACTTCACGGCAACCAACAACAACAAGCTTTCTGTGATGACATTTTGGTCAGTATGAAAAGAACTTGGCTACTTCTTGGGATGTTTTACAATTAAATTTGGTTAAATTTATTTTGAAACCTTTAAGAATGCTCCTTAGAAGTGAGAATGGTGAGACTTTGTCTCACATACTTTGAACATGTTACCAGGAGGGATCAGTCCCTGGAGAAAAACATCATGCTTGGTAAAGTAGGGTCAGTGAAAAGGAGGAGGACCTTCAGCGAGATGGATTGACACAGTGGCTGCAACGATGGGCTCAAGCAGAGCAATGATTGTGAGGATGGCGCAGGACCGGGCAGTGTTTTGTTCTGTTGTACGTAGGGTCACTATGAGTCAGAACCGATTCAACGGCACCTAACAGCATAACAGCAAGAAAAAGAACTCTTGATGGTAGTTTGCTTGATTGATCTAAAATTCGCTGCGAGGACTGTAGTAAATATTTAATGTAACTAAGGTGGACGCAATAGTTTGTCCTATGGAAATTATTGTTAATCATGTGGAAAGACAAGAGGAAGCTTGCCTTTGCCACTGCGCTTGGGTTTACTCAGTAGCCCGTGTATACCTCATGTCTTGCTACCTATCACATTGCATTCTAATTGCCAGCTGACTTTGTCTCCTCCCCAGGCTGGTCCATCTTTCATTCTGTATCATCAGTGCCCAGCACAGTAAGAGATGAGTGCTGTAACATTCTCCTTTTGAATTTTTTCCTCAAAATATACTAGTGACGTCGGGAAGAGTAGAGATCATGGATTACAGCCTGAGAGACTGAAACCTTCAGAGAGAAAGTTAAGTGACCTGCCCAAGGTTATAATGAATCTCTGATGTTCTTCCACTGTTGGCTGTACTTAATGCTGTTGCTTTTTGGAGGTGTTTTTTTGTTTTTGTCTTAGAAATTTTAAAAGAGCACATAAAATGATCTCAGATACTTTATTAGAAGAACAAGGATGTCATACTGATCTTTACTTCTGTACCCTTGCT